TACTCTTCAGTCTCACTCACCAGTCTTACTCTTCAGTCTTACTCTTCGGTCTCAGACAAACTTCACTCAGCGTGACACTCTCTGGTTTCACTCTTTAAAACAACCTGACTGTATTAATGTTAAACATTTTACTCTAAAAATCCATAAGGTGAAATTTGACACCTGTTAACATAGATATAAACACTAGATCGCTCCACTCAGTGTAGCCTGTTTGTCAGGAGCAATGAAGAATCTGTGATTGAATCAGTCAGAGCTGATACTAAACTCATTCTCACCATTTGTTCCTCTGTAAATCTGAGACGTACAGACATTAAAGCTGAACACATGGTTCAGTGTTTTTAAATATTCTTGGTGGGGTTAACATTAACACTAATGAAATATTATTAAGACAAGTTTTGCAAAACTCATAGTCACTGATACATTTTTATTAATATATATATTTTATTTATTTAGCCTTTATTTATACAGGTAGTCTCATTGAGCCACGAGAACTCATTTTCAAGAGAGACCTGTTTAGGGTCAGATGGTGGGGGTTAAGGGTCTTGCTCATCTATCTATCTATCTATCTATCTATCTATCTATCTATCTATCTATCTATCTATCTATCTATATATATATATCTATATATATATATAGATAGATAGATATATAGGTCCTTCTCAAAAAATGAGCATATTGTGATAAAGGTCATTATTTTCCATACTGTAATGATAAAAATGAAACTTTCATATATTTCAGATTCATTGCACACCAACTGAAATATTTCAGGTCTTTAATTGTTTTAATACTGATGATTATGGCATACAGCTCATGAAAACACAAAATGCCTGTCCCAAAAAATCAGATCTCAGTCAGCTTCATTGCAGCTGAACACCGTGTTACACTGAACATCACATCAGCTGGTGGACATAAATACAGTACAGTAATATTATATTCACAAAATACTAACAACAATATGTTCATCTTACTGTGACAAGTTATCCCCCGAGACCTGACGTCAACAGTCGATCTGAACAGAAAGAAGCTGCGAAGTGCTGAGACATCTTCTGCTGTAACCAAATAAGGACGACCGTTTCAAGATGGCGGCCGAAATTCCTGCGCCGCAGCAGCCGATGAGGGATCTAGTGTTTATATATCTATGCCTGTTAATGTTTCTGTCAGTCTCGTTAAGCCCCGCCTCCTGCTGTCACCTGACTTCATTAAAATAAAAACAAACATGAGAGCAAAGGTAACTTCAAACCAAAGTTAATATTTAACACAAAGACACATCCTACAGATGTTTAGTTCCTGGAACATTTGTATTCAGAAGGTTTTTAAAGTCACTGAAGAACTCAAACCTTGTTCTCATGAAGAGTTTTAATAAAAACTCTTATTATTGTAAAGTTTATTCACTTTTTAAAACAAAACAATTCTATATACAATAAGAAATACAATCACAAATAAAATGAAAGGCAGCAGAAAGAAGAAAAAACTAAAATCTGCTCCTTTTAACCAAAACATTAATTCAAACAATAATAATCTTCAAAAAACAACAAAATAAATAAGTCCTTCTTGAGCAACAGTTAAAGGAGCCTCAAATGACTTCTTACTGAGTTTGAGTCAAACCTGGAAAATAACTCCCATCACGTCACCACTCGGCGTTAGGGGTGACTCTCAGCTACTACCACACCAAAGTTCAGCTCGGTATCTGTAAAACTCATTCACAGCCTTTATGGCTTTTCCCAGGTCAATTGGCTGTGGCGGCCATCTTGTACTGAGTTGGGTCCAGATGTTAACCAGTTGTAGATGTTCATCCACTGACTATTAACTGACGGTTTAATTGAAATCCGTCCAGTGGGTGATGAGTTATTTTGCTAACAGACAGAGTTAGCTCCAAACAGTTTTCAACAAAGATCTAGTTCTGTCAGAAGTCAGAATATGATGTTATGGATGATCCTCAGCTACCACCACACTAGATTTGAGGTTTACGTCTTTGAACCTGACTGAGCCGTAGCCGTCTTTGTGTGGGCTAATGTTGATTAGCTGTGTCGGCCATCTTGAATCAAGTTGACTCCAAACATTAGTTGCAGACGTTCATCCAGTGATTACTTCCTAAACGTTTTATTAAGATGTGTTCTGTTGTTTGGGAGATATTTTGCTAACAGACAGAGAAATGAACATCTGAGAAGAATTGTCTATCAGCTGTTCTTCTGCAGGCTGGTGCTTCCTGTGAGGATGGCCTCCGACCTTTGAACCCTGACCTCTGACCTCTCGCTGTCTGTTTCCTCAGTGGCCTCATGCTCAGCAGCATCTCTGAAGACACAAACTGGTCTCCAGTCTCCCCCGTCCACAGCAGGTAGAAATGACACAGTGTCACACACACACTCACCTGTGACTACCTCCTTTCATTAAAACTCTGCCTGTGGAGACAACTGATCGGTTGTCCTGAGATCAGTTCTTCAGGAAGATCTGTCCTCCTCGTCTTCTTCAGCTTACCATCAGTAACAGATCTGTTTGTTGTCTCTGAGGACAGAAGGGTAATGAGACAGAACCAGCTGCTGAGATGGACCGTCTCTGTGTGTCCTCAGTGTCCCAGCAGGTCTCGGTGGTGGAGGTGTTTGAGGGGGACAGGTTCGCACAGCTGCCCTGTCACTTTCACAGGTATGAACCGAACATCACCGTGGTGTGGATCCATCAAGACCTCCAGTTTTCAACCGTCCACCGGCGTCAGCCGGGAGGAGACGAGCTGAAGGACCAGAACCAGAAGTACAGAGGCAGAACATCCATGAAGGATGACGCTCTGGAAACTGGAGACCTGAGTCTGAATCTGACCCAGGTGCAGCGGTCTGACAGTGGAAACTACACCTGCACCGTCGAAACCCTCAGAGGAGAAGAGAACGTTCACAATGTAGAACTTCTGGTCAGAGGTCAGTAACAAACCAGACTCCTGCTGATCATAAAGGTCAAAGTTCACGCTGTTCCTTTGTTTCTTTACAGGACAACATCCATGGTGGCCTGGAGCTCTCCTGCTTCTCCTGGTGGTTCTGGTTCTGGTTCTTTCTGGGGGTCTCGTGTATCATTTTCGGCACTGTTTCATGTCAGGTGAGGTTCTGAGACGGAAATGGATCAATGTTGGCTGTGGAGTGAACGTAGACACAAAGATCCAGAGAGAAGGAGGAGATGGTCCTGTGACCATCAGAGACTAGGAGGAGATGGTCCCGTGACCATCAGAGACAAGGAGGAGATGGTCCCGTGACCATCAGAGACTAGGAGGAGATGGTCCCGTGACCATCAGAGAC